ATGCCCACTTTCTGTAGAGTTTTATCATATATGGGTGTTGAATTTTGTCCAAAACTTTTTCTGCATCTATTGAGATGATCATATGGGTTTTCTCCTTAAATTTGTTAATATGACTTTTTTTTCTTCAATTTGTTAATTAGTCAGGTTATCTAGACCCTACTACCACTTTCTGTAACTGCTACCCAGGGCTTGAAGGGGCTTATGCTCACAGCAGTATTTGGTGATAATGATAGTAACACAGTGATTCTAGGATTGTTGTTGATAAACTTTCTGAGACTGAATATGCCTACGAAAAACAAGATTGTAGAGAGATGGGCTGTTTGACCGTTGAAGGGACTTTGTTTCTGGCTTTACTTCTGAGGACATTGTTTAACTGTGGCTTACTCATTGAAGTTGCTGTTAGAAATTGTTACTAACGTTCATATCTAGGACTTGAAAATATTAAAGGAAAATTAGCTATTTATTATATTGATTTTTGTCAATATGATATTTTTAAAAATTCAGGACCTTTTTTTTTTTTGTTTGTTTGTTGTCTGTATTGGGACTCGAACCATATTATTTTTCAGATACACCTTATTTTGTACAAAAATAGGATAACACCCCCCCCGCCCCAGATCTTTGATTATGTTATGTTATCTTTGATTTGGTTTTGTTAGAATCCTCAGAAAAGCAGAGAATCTGTAATTCTCTTTATGGGAGTTAATAGCTGTCGGATGGAGTCCACGTTCCTATAGTATCTGGACTCTGTCTATATCTACTTGCCTATGTTGAAGACTTCTTTTTTATTTTGTTTGTTTTTTGCGGTACACGGGCCTCTCACTGTTGTGGCCTCTCCCGTTACGGAGCACAGGCTCCGGACGCGCAGGCTTAGCGGCCATGGCTCATGGGCCTAGCCGCTCCACGGCATGTGAGATCTTTCGGGACTGGGGCACGAACTCGTGTCCCCTGCATCGGCATGCGGACTTTCAACCACTGTGCCACCAGGGAAGCCCGAAGCCGCCTTTTAATTTAATGATCAGTTTTATTGCTTCTCCAGTACTGGCAGTCTTTTATTGCATGTTTGTAAAGTCCTCCTTCCATATCCTGTAAGAGATGAAATATCTAGCAATGAGAAGCCATCTGTTTAAAATTTTCTATCCATACCTTTTTTATCTGGAGAATTTCTTTTTATCCATATCTTTTTTTTTTTTTGCGGTACGCAGGCCTCTCACTGTTGTGGCCTCTCCCGTTGCAGAGCACAGGCTCTGGACGCACAGGCTCAGCGGCCATGGCTCACAGGCCCAGCCGCTCTGCGGCATGTGGGATCTTCCCGGACCGGGGCACGAACCCGTGTCCCCTGCATCGGCAGGCAGACTCTCAACCACTGCGCCACCAGGGAAGCCCTATCCATATCTTTTATAGTTGATCTTTAAAAACAAGTCTCCAGGGCCTCCACAACAGTGAGAGGCCCACGTACCGCAAAAAAAACAAAAACCAAAACAAGTCTCCATTCTCAGATAGAGTTGGTTGTGTAACCTCAAAACTTAAAGTCAGTTATATAATTAAAAGTTCTCTATCCACCTGAATAGTGGAAATCTGAAAGAAAACTATTAGAATGATTTTCCACCTTACAGAAGTCATGTTGCCATTGTCCAAAGTCATTTTCTCTTAAATGTTTAATCCTTGTAGTTATGTTGTTTAGGTCAGTCAGTACAGTTACTTTAGTTGGGTTTTTGTTTTCAGATTTGCATTACTGACAAGTTCTTAGATCTGTGATTTTCTTGATCCTGTTGGAATTAACTTCTAGTTCCACCTATCCTCTCTACTCTTATGATGAGCTAATTATTTACACCAGTTTTTGGACTTTTATGTACTGACACTTTTGAAGCACAGAGTGCTAATTAATATTGAATACTTTTTTGAGGTCTCTCTGAGCTTTGATGTATCTTTTGAGTTTTCTCTTGGAATATCTTTCATGGTGGGAAACATAAGTCAGGTTGGAAAGTTGAAGATGTTACCAGGGCTTATGAACAAAAACTTTATATTGAATCCAGTTTTAATTTACATTTGAATTCATGATTCAGAACCAAAAGTAAGATCTAGAACTTGGTTTCAAATTTTCTTTGTAGCAGTGTTTCTCAGGGAGTTTGAAAATGTGTGGGGCATTGTTGGTGTCAGAATGGCATGGGGAATATTGTTGGCATTAATGGAAGGGAGCCAGAGATACTGTGTGTCCTGAATGTGGGGACAGTCCTATGCAGTGATGTTTTGTCAGAACTTCCTCAATACTGGTAGCATCACGATTGAGAAACCCTAGAGATGAAGCATTAAAGTTTATGCCAGATACATTCATATCAGGAAACATTAGGTGCATTCATGAGTTAAACTTACACAGTATCCTTTGTATTCGTTTTTTTTTTTTATGGTAGATTCTTGAGTCTTTATATTTATTTGTTCGTTTGTTTTAGTTGTGCTGGGCCTTAATTGTGGCAGGCGGGCTCCTTAGTTGAGGCTCACTGGCTCCTTAGTTGCATCACGCGGGCTCCTTAGTTGTGGCATGTGAACTCTTAGTTGCGGCACGCATGTGGGATCTAGTTCCCTTACCAGAGATCGAACCCAGGCCCCCTGCATTGGGAGCGCATGATCTTAACCACTGTGCCACTAGGGAAGTTCCAATCCTTTGTATTCTTTTTTTTTTTTTTAATTTATTTATTTTTGGCTGTGTTGGGTCTTCGTTGCTGTGTGCAGGCTTTCTCTAGTTGTGGCAAGCGGGGGCTACTCTTTGTTGCAGTGCACGGGCTCTAGGCACATGGGCTTCAGTAGTTGTGGCTCGTGGGCTCTAGAGCACAGGCTCAGTAGTTGTGGTGCCCGGCCTTAGTTGCTCCGTGGCATGTGGGATCCTCCTGGACCAGGGCTCCAACCCATGTCTCCTGCACTGGCAGGCAGATTCTTAACTGCTGTGCTACCAGGGCAGTCCCTTTTGTATTCTTTTATTTATTTATGTATTTATTTATTTTTTTGCGATACGCAGGCCTCTCACTGCTGTGGCCTCTCCCGTTGCGGAGCACGGGCTCTGGACGCGCAGGCCCAGCGGCCATGGCTCACGGGCCCAGCCGCTCCGCAGCATGTGGGATCCTCCCGGACTGGGGCACGAACCCATGTCCCCTGCATCGGCAGGCGGACTCTCAACCACTGTGCCACCAGGGAAGCCCTCTTTATTTTTTTTTGAGGTATAATTGACATAATATACTGAACATAAAGTGTTCAAGTTGATAAATTTAGATGTGTTACGTGTACCGTGACCCAACACCTCAGTGAAGATAGTGAACATACCTATTACACCCAAAAGTTTCCTCTTCTTTTTTTTTTTTTTTGCGGTACGTGGGCCTCTCACTGCCGTGGCCTCTCCCGTTGCGGAGCACAGGCTCCAGACACGCAGGCCCAGCGGCCATGGCTCACGGGCCCAGCCGCTCCGCGGCATGTGGGATCCTCCTGGACCGGGGCACGAACCCATGTCCCCTGCATCGGCAGACGGACTCTCAACCACTGCGCTGCCAGGGAAGCCCAGTTTCCTCTTCTTTATAATTCTTCCTGCTTATCTACCAGCTGCCAGTTACCTGTGACCTGCTTTCTGTAACTAAATATTAATTTGCATTTTCTGGAGTTTTATATAAATGAAATCATATAGCATGTGCTCTTTTTTCTGGCTTCTTTCAGCATAATTGTTTTGAGATTCATCCACGTCATTGTGTGTTATTAAATTTTTTTATTGCTGAATAGTATTCCGTTGTACAGACATACAGTAATGTGTGTAGGCATTCACCTGTTAATGGACATTTGGATTGTGTTCACTTTGGGGCTCTTAAAAAGAAAGCTGTTCAAGAACATTCACATAGAAACGTTTATTGGATGTGTGCTTTCACTTTTCTTGGGTAAACACCTAGGAGTATTATAGCTAGATAATATGATAATGTATGTGTTACTATTAAAAACGCTACCCCATTGTTTTCCACAGTGATTGTTCTGTTTTGCATTTCCACCAGCAGTTTCTCTACATTCTTGCTGATCTTGGTCTGGTCAGTCTTTAATTTTAGCTGTTTTCGTAGGTGTGTAGTGATATCTTATTATGATTTTAATTTGTGTTTCATCAGTTACTGGTGATGTTGAGCATCTTTTCATGTGTCTGCTTGCCATCTGTATGTCTTCTTTGGTGAAGTGTGTAGTCAAATCATTCTTAAAAACTAGGTTTTTTAAAATAGTGTTGATCTTTATATATTCTGGTTACAAGTCCTTTATTAGATATATCCTTTGCCAATATTTTCTTTCAGTCTGTGGTTGTCTTTTCATTCCCTTAACAATACCTTTTGAAAAAACAGAAGTTGTTAGCTTTGCTGAAGTCCATTTTATCGATTTGTTGTCTTGTGGATTATGCTTTTGGTGTCATTTTAGAAATCTTTGCCTAACATCAGGTCATAAAGAGTTTCTCCAATGTTTTCTTTTATAAATTTTACAGTTTTAGATGATACATTTAGATCTATGATCTGTCTTGAGATAATTTTTATTTATTGTGTGATGTATAGATTAAAGTTAATATTATAATTATTTTTTGGCAAATGGGTATTCATTTGTTCTGGCACCATTTGTTGAAAAGATTATCTTTTTTTTTTGTACCTTTGCCAAAAATCAGTTGTTCTTATATAACAAGTCCTGAAATCAGGTATTGTTAGCCCTCAACTTTGTTCTTTTTCAAAGCTGCTTTGACTTTTCTAAGCCACTTGTATATACATTTTAGAATAAAATTGTCAATTTCTACAAAAAAAGCCTACTGGGATTTTGATTGGGATGGCTTTGAATCTATAGATTAATTTACTGCTTATTTCATTCTTTAATTTCTCTCAGCAGTGTTTTGTAGTTTTCCTTGTACATGTTTTTCACATGTTTCATCAGACTTATCCCTAAGTATTTATATTTTTTGAAACTCTTGTAAAAAATGTTGTTTTTGAAACTTGCTCTCCAATCAGGTCTTGTCCAATAAGCATGTGGCTCCTGATCATCTGTTGCAAATCTGCCAGCGCATCGGTCCCATGTTGGATAAAGAAATTCCACCCAGTATTTCAAGAGTCACTTCTTTACTTGGTGCAGGAAGGCAGTCTTTGCTACGTACAGCAAAAGGTACCTTAATTTGAAGAAGTGTTCTGCTTTGTATTACTAGCTTAATAATTATTATAATTGTGAAGTAATGTAAGCATTGTGGAAGAAAGGTGATGTGTAACTGAAAACCATGCTGTGGACTATAAAATTCTCTGCATTTAGCATAGATGTTGAATTTTATTACATCAGTGTTTAATGGGTCCTTCTGCATTTAAAAAAATGATAAAGGTATAGATGTTAAGCTTAAAAGCTTGAATTTATTCTGAGATGTGTTTGAGGTTTTATCAATGTGAGTTCTTATTTTTCCATTTTGTAGCTCACTTATAACTTCATTGAATGTAATTGTATGTGTCTAATAAACTCTTTAAATGCTAGAAGTATTTCATTTGATATTTAGATTCTGAAGCCCTTTTATAAGGGGAAGTGATTTTCTAAATTTGATAGCAGTTTGAAAATGAGCACCAAAAATGTACAAATGCATGGTTCTTTTTCACCAGTTTAATTTTTTTGCAAAATTATGTGGTAGCAAAATGTTTGGAATTGCTGTTCTTTTTCTGTTAGCTTGGTATAAATTACTTAGACTCAGTATATGTATGTGATATGATCTATGTATACAACGTGGCTTAACTGCTAATGGGCAAGAATGTTGGCTCTTCTGATCCTGAGTATACGTCAAGTTCATCCCTCATGATTATTTTTAAGATCTGTTGCTGATGTGATGCTGCCTCTTAGATGCTCCACCAGTATAAAGTTTGACTGAGAAAGAACAACCCTTCCTCTTGGTTCCATGCCAGACTGGTTTGTCAGCTTTAGTTGCTTCTCAGTGCTCTATGGTCATGCCACACTGTGGCTTGAATCAGGAAACTGTTCATATTCTTCCTTTTTCTGTGTCCCTATTCACCTTTTAATTATTCTGTTTTAGGTTGTTATATAGTAGTTGCCTGGGTAGCCTGTTTTCCTGTTTTCTTTACTTGTGTCAAGCTCAATGTCGTTTTGTGATGAGCACTGCTTTAGAACTGGCAGACCTTAGAAGAAACTTCAGCAAGCTGTCCTAGGGTAGGGACCATATTTCTCTGTTTTGTACTAGTGACGCAAGAGGATGCCTTGTAACTGCTCTTTGATAATGATAGTGGTAATGAATTCATTCATGTAACACATGATACGCCTGTTAGTTTGGGGCACCCGAGGCTCAGTAGAGGGTTTACATAATGCCTTTCTTGCCTTCCTCTTTCAGTTGTGAAGAAGCACATTTCTAGCACAGCAAAGTCTGTGTTCTGCTGTTATCTCCTATAGAGGGGGTAGACAGTTTTTCTTAGTATATTTGCTAAGCGGGATAGGATTTGAGAATTAGTGTTCAGACTCAAAAATCCTACATATGCTCTTTTGTAAAGGATTATCTATGATCCTAAAACAAGAGGAAAGCCATTTAATTTTGTCAGTACTTTCTAAGGAGATTAAAATCATGGTAATATTGGCCATCATTATTTTTAAAACTCAGTAACATTTCAATAAGTTAAGTCAGGATTTTCATATAAACAAAAAAAATTAAAATTTTCCTTACAAAAATTTCTGGTTCTGGAGAGTTGGATCAGTTGTGATTAAGACCTTTATCATTAATAATTGTATGGTATAATTCTGCAATGAAAAATAAAATCCTGTTTGGCATTGAGTGGGACTTGGAGTCAAAAGATCTGGTTTTATGGTCCATCTTGACTAATCATTTACAGTGGATCTCTTTAAAGGTCCTGGAACCTTTGAGCCTCAGTTACCTCACTTGTAAATTGGCAATGATACCTACCTCACAGGGTTGTTGTGAGGATTCAATGAGATAATGTATGTGGAAAGCACTTTGTAAATTGTTAAGTGCTACACAAATGTTAGTTGTTGTTGTTGTATCTGAGATGTCTTACATTTTTTTTTCCTTCAGAAATAGTCTAATAAACCTCTAGGGCTTTTCTGTTAAAGTATATTAGTTGGTAAACCTTTGAATAAACAGTTTATTACAATATACGTAAGTATTCTATAAAATCTTTCTTGGGGTTAACTTTCAAGATTTTATGTGTATCTAAAATTCATTTTAAAGACTGCAGGCACACAGTTTGGAAGGGCTCTGCCTTTGCTGCTCTTCATAGAGGAAGACCTCCTGAAATGCCGGTGAATTATGGTTCCCCACCAAATCTTGGTAAGTGAGGTTGACTTTTTAGAGGCCCCAAACCATTTTTAAATTTCTTGACCAACTTTGTAACTGCTATATTAAAACTTAAAAGGTAGTACTGGTAATGTTGTTTCAGATTTATGGTTTTCCTAAAATTATTACTAAAAGTAATAAAAGTCAATGAAAACAATCTTATTTTAATAAGAAGTCTGTACTAGTGCTTATAGTAGAAGAGAATTGGGAAGAAACTTCATCTTTAGGATTTCTCGAACATTGATTTTTGTGACCCTCTAGAAATTGTTTTGGAGGTTTTCTTAGCTTTTTACATATTTGGCTCCCCCTTAACCACTTTCATTGTTTTTATTTCCTAGTGGAGATACATCGAGGAAAACAACTCACAGGGTGTTCCACTTTTAGCACAGCATTTCCAGGAACTATGTATCAGCATATAAAAATGCACAGAAGGATTCTCGGACATCTATCTGCTGTTTACTGTGTAGCATTTGATAGGACAGGACATAGAATCTTTACAGTGAGTTAACATTTTAAACTCAATTTGGTATCATCTGGAGCACTTTAGTGTGCCTCAGAATTATCTAGAAAATCTTATAAAACATTTAGATTCTATCTTTCCTCTTTGTCAGGAATTTTGACTCAGTAGGTCTGGTGTGGGGCCCATGAATTTACATTTTTATTCAATATCGCAAGTGATTCAGATGCAGATAATCAGGCCTTGTGTGTTTTTTTGTGATACACTGATTTAGAGCAGTGGTTCTAGAGCATGGTCATCAAGGATGCTTAAAAATATGCATTCCTAATACTTCCCCTCCAGCCCATTCTAGACCTACTGAATTAGGTTATAGTATGTATTAACCAAAAACAATCCCCCAAAAAACCCCTCCACATTAATCAAAAAGACCCCCTTCCCCCCAAAATCCAAATCTCTACAGGTGATTCATATTCACATTGATTAATCATGATCTAGGGAAATTGATTAACACTGAAAGATTATTTTATAATTGTTGTAAAACTATATGTAAATATTTGGAATTTAATTTACCATTTTAATGTTTTAAGGGAAAATTAAGGTGGGTAAGAAGTTTAAATTTCATTTTTCAGTTGTTGAGACTCAGAGTAGATATTCAAATATTTGCTGAATGGATGGATGCTTGCTGGTACTATAAATTTGAGACTCTGTTGCTTAGTTATTTAAAATGAGTGTTCTGGTCCCATTATTTTTTGTTTTTGGAATTGCCACTTAATCAACTTGTGAAACATAGATCAGTCTTAACTAACATTTATCAAATTATTTAGCTTGATGTGAGCTAAACGAATGTTTAACCATTGTTAATTGAAATGGGTGAGCCATGAACTTTTAGTTGGACTTATTACATGGCAGAGAATTTGGGGAAAATAGTATTTATAATAGGTCTAAGCCATAGAAATGAAAACTTCAAGGTATCTTTATTATTTGATTTGAAGAAAAAACTATCATAAGTGTTCTCGGCTGTCAGAAAAAACTATTGTAAGTGTTCTTGGCTGTAAGATTCATAATTTGCAGAATGTTCTACAGTTGGAAAGAGAGGAGGAATTATAGACACTTAATTTGAGTGACATGTAAATGGTATTTTTTTAAAAGATAAAAAAGACTTGCTGTATTAACATTTTATTTTTGGGTGTAATTTTTCTCAGGGTTCAGACGATTGTTTGGTGAAGATTTGGTCAACACACAATGGCCGCCTATTATCCACATTAAGAGGTCATTCTGCAGAAATTTCAGATATGGCAGTAAACTATGAGAATACAATGATTGCTGCAGGGAGCTGTGATAAAATAATTAGAGTGTGGTGCTTGAGAACTTGTGCTCCAGTTGCTGTGCTCCAAGGACACACGGGGTCAATTACATCTTTACAGGTAAACCAGCTTTAGTGTGCACATTTGTGTATTATCTCCTTTTCCTTTACAACTCTTTTTCTTTGGAGATGAGAAATAGTAAGATGCTTAGTAGTTATGTGCTCTATTTTAAATTTAGTAATGAAGAGAAATATAATTAATCATAGTTCCATGACTCTTAGAAGGGTGATGTAACAAATATGTAATGCAGTTAAGAGCTGTATATGAAGGCTTGATGGATGACTTACTGTTTCCTTAAGGTTTATAGTTGAACTGAATGAGTGTCATTACACACTCATGGTGTTAAAGGAGAAAAATCATCAATTTAAGACTTGTGGATTTTGATAAGTGGATTAAATTTGCTGAAATATATTAATTTTTTTCCTTCATGGGGGGATGTTAATTTTGAACCACATACACAGTAGACAGAATAGTATGATGAACCCCTATGTGCCCATCACCTCAGGCCAATTCTTCTTCAGCCATTTCACCTTGTACCCAAAGCAAATCCTAGATTTCATATCATTTCTTCTGTAAAAAACTTCAGTATGTCTTCCTAAAAGACATACTGTGTTTTATTAAAAACATTATCATCACACTTGTTTGTTGATGTTCAAATTTCCAGTTGTTTCATAAATAGCATTATTTTGTTTAGTTTGTTTGAATTAGGAATCAGACAAAGCCTGTACCTTACAATTGCTGTAGATTAAAAGAATTTTAAAACAATTGCACAGTCTTGTCCAATTTTTTTTTTATAACCACTTGCAGTTTCTTTGTTGAGGAAGTTGGGTTTATCTGTAGAGTTCCCACAGTTTGGGTACCATTTGCTTCCTTGTGGAGGAGATAACATGTTTCTTTGTATTTCTTGTAAGTTGGTTGTTGGATCCAGAGCAGTAGTTTTATTTAATGTGCATGTGAATCACTTGGAGGCCTTGTTTAAAACACAGATTGCGGGGCTTTCCTGGTGGCACAGTGGTTAAGAATATGCCTGCCAATGCAGGGGACATGGTTCGATCCCTGGTGTGGGAAGATCCCACGTGCCGCGGAGCAACTAAGCCCGTGCGCCACAACTACTGAGCCTGCGCTCTGGAGCCCGTGCTCTGCAACAAGAGAAGCCACGACAATGGGAAGCCACAACAATCAGAAGCCTGCGCACCGCAACGATGAGTAGCCCCTGCTCACCGCAACTAGAGAAAGCCTGCATGCACCAATGAAGACCCAACACAGCCAAAAATAAAAACAAATATAAATAAATAAATTGATATAAAAACAAAAAAGACAAAAAAACCCAAAAACACACAGATCGCTAGGCCCCAGTGCCAGAAATTTTGTTTGATTCAGGATGTTGGAGGCAGGGCCTGAGAATTTGCCTTCAAAACAAGTTCCCAAGTGCTGCTTCTGCTTCTCCTTTATTTATTATTATTATTTTTAAAATTTTATTTCATTGTATCTTTTATTATTTATTCATTTATTTAATTTTAGCTGCGTTGGGTCTTAGTTGTGTGCAGGCTTTCTCTAGTTGGCGGCGAGCGGGGTCTGGTCTTTGTTGCGGTGTGTGGGCTTCTCATTGCGGTGGCTTCTCTTGTTGTGGAGCACGAGCTCTAGGTGCATGGGTTTCAGTAGTTGTGGCACGCAGGCTCTAGAGCACAGGCTCAGTAGTTGTGGTGCACAGGCTTAGTTGCTCTGTGGCATGTGGGATCTTCCCAGGCCAGGGCTCGACCCCGTGTCCCCTGCATTGGCGGACGGATTCTTAACCACTGCGCCACCAGGGAAGTCCGGCTCCTCCTTTAGGGACTACACTTTCAGGATCATTGATCGAGAGGCTTGGTTACCTTGAGGTATGCTCTTCCAGGCATTGAACGTCTGGTGGTCTCTGCAGTTGTCTTAGATCCATTAGTACTGAGAATGGTGCTACTCAGTCATTTTGGATTGTTTTTTGAAAATTACATTTTGTTAGTAGATAATGATTTGTAAGGCCTTTTAAGACATGTTGGTGCTTCTGATTTGAGTTTGAGTAAGACAAGCAGAGTGGTTTCATTTTCATATGTGAATTTACCTAGGGTATATGTTAAGTGGTCTGTAAATAGATTTGGTGTGAAGTTCTGTGATAAAAGTGACTTTTCTCAACTCCTATGGCCAATATTCTTGAAGAATAAAGACTGCAGACTTATTTTTGAAGGATGACAACTCTAATTGGGGTTGTGTTTTACTTTGAAAATGTAAGCAGAATTTTTGATTTGCCTGTTTATTTTTTGGCAAGGAGTATATTGTTCTCTAGAGGATTTCATAGGTTAAAAATTAATTCAAATCCTAGCTATGTTCTAGAGGTTAAAAATTTTTTTTTCATTTTGTTATTTGATATAAACTTATAGGCAACATAACAGCAAATAAGAACATTTATAATACTTTTTGAGGGTGTCTGTCTTAAAACCATTAGGGAGTTCTTCAGTGTGAAAGTGGAGCTCTGGTCTTCACTGAAAGCCCCATTCTTTTGGTAATGGGGGCCCGCATGTGTTTACTACCTACTGAATATATCAAAAAACTCTGCTTGGGTGGTGATAGGTTTTTATACATCAGAAGGCTTATCTGTGCTTGCTAGTGGTTGCTCTGCAGTTCAAAGTCAAGCAAATGCATAATTTTAGTTATGAATCTTCTTCATGTTCTTTGCCTTGTTGTTACTGGCATGTATAAACCATTTTAAATTTTAGTAAAGGTTTTCTTTTTATTTATTAAAAAAGGTATGTAAGTAATATTGTTTGCAAAAAAATTAGACAGTAGTTAATAGCAAATAAAATTAAAAACTTCCATAATCTTACCATCTAGAAATAATCACTTTCAGTATTTTAGCACACACCTTTCTCATGGGTAGCAGTATACAGTGTCACTTAATATAATTTACATTCTCAAAAATGTTAGTATTAGACTTAACTGGGTTAGAGGTAGAACCTTTTGTCTGTCTAAGAGGATCAAGTGAACATTCTTCAGGAGTAAAGGACATAATGCAGAGCTGGCAACTAGAAAACCTGGACGAGGGTGACAGAAGTATCTGAAGTACTAATAGAATGAGAAATTATGGGACCAAGATACAGGAGATGAGGAAAGCCCAGGGAGAGGAACTTGAGTTTGAAGGCATATGCCAGTTTTACAGGAGGTGGCTGAGAAGCTTAGCAGAAATTTTGACAGACTTGTAGGGTTGGGGAGGATATATCTTGGAAGTGTGTATGCATAGTGAATTCATAATAAATATGCAAATTTCATCAGAGAACTAGAAGTGAGTAAAAAGGAAATTCTAGAATTGAAACATATAACTGAATTTAATAATTCAATGGATGGTTTTAACAGCGGATTAGATGCAACCGAAGAAATCAAAGAGAGAATTAATGAGCTGGAAATGAGGTTAGAAGAAAATAAATAGATGGAAGCACAGAGGGATGAGTTTGGAATGTACTGAAAGAGATTAAGAAATGGACAGGAAATGCTGAAAAGATTCCACATATGTATACATAATATATACCATATGTGTAATTGGAATTCCTGAAGAAGAGGAGAGAATGAAGCAAAAGTTATGTTTGTAGTGATAATAGCTGAGAATCTTGCAAAATAACGCTAAAGAAATAAAGCCACAGATTGAAGAAACACTAAGGATCCTGGGCAGAATAAATATACAGACATACTAAACATTACAGTAAAAGCTTTAAAACCGAAGACAAAGTGAAATCTTAAGTAACCAGAGGGGAAAATAAAGAAGGAATAAAACTGACGGCTAGCTTCTCAGTAGAAGCAGTGGAAGTTGATAGACAAAGGAGTACTCTTCTTAAAGTGTTAGTAGGAAATGACTGCCAGTCTTGAATTCTGAACCTACTGAAAATACCATTGAACTACAGTAAACACATTTTCAGACAAATTGAGAGTTTCTTAGTGATGGAACAGCACTAAAGGGAATTCGAAATGGTATCCATTAGGCAGAGAAGGAATGTGATCCCAGGCTTGGAATAAGAAAGAATGAAGAATTAAAAAAAAATGTGTGTGAGCAAATGGAAATAAACATTGACTTCATTGCAACAAATGTAATGTCTTAGGGTTTTAAATTATGTGTGGAATTAAACTAACAGTAATAATAGCTTGTATATAGGGAGGAGGTAACGTTAGTATTTGTTAGATCTTTGCATTTCGTAATCTCTAAAATAATTAAAAGACTAGCAAGAGAATATATAACTACTAAGCTTAATAGAGGGGGAAATATGGAATAATAAAAAAGCAAGAAAGGAAAGAAAAAGAAGTGTAGGAAAAGTACTGAGATGATACTAGGATATCATTAAATGGCAGTGTAATCATAGATTACTTGTAAATGCATTAAATGGTCCAGATAAGAGAGAAAGATTTCAGACATAATTGAAAAACAAACCTCACCTTCAATATAAGGGTATAGGGAGTCTGGATGTAAAAAAAAAGTAAAGGATGGAAACAATTATCCAAAAATTAACCATAAGAAGGCTGGTATAGCATACTAATATTATTAGATAAAAAAGGCATTAAGGCAAATACCAGTTTTGGAGATAAAGAGGGACAATTTATAATGATTAAATGTTTCATTAGGCAGGAAGAAGAGTTCTGAATTTGTATGTGTTCAGTAACACAGCCTCAAAATACATTAAGCAAAAATAGGACATATGGGGAAAAATAGACCTCCATAATATTAATGGGCAATAAGCACATCTCTGGCTCTCTCAGTAGTTGGAAGAACAATCTGTGTCATTAAGAATATAGATTTAGGGCTTCCCTGGTGGCGCAGTGGTTGAGAGTCCGCCTGCCGATGCAGGGGACACGGGTTTGTGCCCTGGTCCGGGAAGATGCCACATGCCGCAAAGCGGCTGGGCCCGCGGGCCATGGCCGCTGAGCCTGCGCGTCCGGAGCCTGTGCTCCGCAACGGGAGAGGCCACAACAGTGAGAGGCCCGCGTACTGCAAAAACAAAGAATATAGATTTGAACAGTGTAAATAATAAGCTTGATCTGTATGATAC